GCGACAGAGGCAAACAGCAACCTCCCTCGCGTCGGTCACTGGCTTCAAAACACTTTCGGAGACCAAATGAAACCAGTTTTTCCGGACAGTAATGCGGAATCTTCACCTATCCTGGCGCCTGGCTTTCCCGTTACTGCTTCTTTTGATGGTAAGTTTCAACCCTGTTTTCTCTGTATCTATGCCGTCAGACAGACACGAATTCCAATTTCTAACAAACCAAGGGAAAATTATCGGGTAATTAGGTATAATTTGCTACTTAGATCGACTTCTACATTAAATAATACAAAATTATGACATTTTTCCTCCAGCCTATAGTGGTGCTGGAAGTACTTTTAGATGTAGCATTGCCACAATCAAGAAAAGTTGCTGCTAAAAGCATTTCGTTGCTTGTTCAGACAGTAAAAGTACAACTTAGGTGTAACAGCCTTATGCAGATTTAGTTAAGCCAAAAGTCTTGACGGTTTCCAAGTGCTTTGCTTCCGTAAACCCTGCTAAAATATTCACTGTAAGGGCTGATTTAAGGTGCTCTTTTCTGTTTTTAATGGAAGAAGACAGAATTATAACTGCAGGAACTAAACGGAAAAAAATAGTAGTTACTGTCATCTCTAAATAAATTCGCAAAGCCAATTTAACTGATTTTGCAGATGTAAATTTAAATTGCCATTGTTCTGACAGTCTGAATTAAGCAAGTCTTGGTTAATGGTGCATACTGAATAAGAGACAGAAGCAGTCATTTCCGGGTTGTCGCATGATGACTCAGGTGCGAACACATGTCAGAAATAACCATTTATGCGCACCCTACTCAATGCAAACAAGAAGTTGTCAATTCTGACTTGTTTTCAGTATCTGAGTTCTTTCGGATAAATAATTACTAACCCTGTCATTATGTGTGTACAGGTTCCAGCACTATCTGTTCGGATGAGGACGAAACCCGAGCTGATGATCGTCCCTCCCACGCCAGCTGGCCAATCAGCCAACGTCACTCCAACCCCTTCCGCCTCCATCGTTCACCCAAGCGGGTTCATCGCCTGTGGCAGTTCCTGTGGACCCTGCTAGAAGATCCCAACTACAACCCCAGCATTATTCGTTGGGTGGACAAGGAGGCTAAGATGTTTGAACTGACAAAGAGCTCTGTGGTGGCCAATCTCTGGGGAGCACAAAAGCAGAAGCCAGGCATGAGCTATGAGAATCTTGGCCGTTCACTCCGGTAAGTGTTGTGCCTGATCGCAGACTGTGCACTTGAATTATAAAAGCATTAGAAAAGTAGAGGTCGAATGACTGTCAGCCGAGGAAGTCGGGCGGTTGAATGCGCGAGAGAGGTGGGCCGGGAGGAGATAGAATAAGGTTTAATCAGAAGGCTAATGGACATCTTTCAAACAGTGATGACGATGCTACATACGGAGTAAGGGTTAGTGATGAGTATCATTAATCATCCATTTAAGTCAGAATCACATACATCCTGAGGGCTGTCAGTGACAGGCTATGAATGACGCAGTCTAGAGAGTTCCGAAATGTCGGTTGTTGCGGCGCAGGTAACAAAATCTACTCCACTGGAGCTCATACCTCCTCCCCCCATCTCCGATGTCAGCCCCACAGTTCAAAGCCACTGCGGGCTTCCTGAAGTTGTCTACACTTCAAACGGCTTGGCGGCATGCTTATCCGTAAAGTGGGCCCGAAAATTGGAGCGGATGACGCAAGAATATTTCGACCCGATTGACTCATGTACACACTATGTCTTCGCGATGTAGCCCTCGGGAACTTCAAACATCTTACGCAGACAGCGCAAAGTCTGCTACAATTGGTCCAGTTTCATTATACTACGGTAGGCATTGCCAGCTCAGTGTCGCTAGTTTCTGTCAGTACTCCTGCTATGGAAGTAGGTGCGCCTAACCATGGAGCAGCTTCAGAAGAAATTTTTGATTTTACCCAGTGCTTGATTTTTCTCAAAATAGTTCTCAGTAGGGAGCGGCCCAATTGCCTGTGCATATAGCATTCAATGTCATTTGGAACCTTGGTTTGCTGGATTCTCGTGTCTCATTGCCGTTTACCTTTTGAACTTCAGGTACTACTACTCGAGAAAGATTTTGAAGAAGGTCAGTGGGCAACGACTGGTTTACCAGTTTCTTCCAACCGAGGCACTTTTGGCCTGCGAACAGTCACAAGCGACCTAGTCAGCGTTCCTCTCCTGCCTGCTGGTGTCGGGCACTGCCACAGTACCCCATGTGCAGAAACACTCACACAAACATACCTGAAATCTACCTCGATAACTCACCTGCTTTGGCTGCATTCCTCTGGACAAATCAAGCAGAAGCCTTCGGAGTTTTTCTTTTTTACTCAGAAATACTTTTAGCAATTCTGCCTTTGATACAAACCCGGGTTATTTGGTACTTCCTCCGTTTCTTTTGTGTGCATTCCCTTCTATTTTGAAAGTGGTCATTAAAACGTGATGAACATAAATTTGATAATAAACAGTATGCACTCAAGACAGTCTTAAAGGAGCATTCTGGGATCGGGGAGGGGGGAGGGTGTCAGCATGGGTCTCATGTGCGGGCGGCTCACAAACAACGCACCACACTATGTGAAACAGGTAAACTTAGTGAAAACTTCTGCAAATAGATATAGCTATTGTTAAAAGGACCCATAGCAAAGCGACAAAAACTCTTAAGTCTCAGAAGACATGAATTTATGCATAGATTTTTGTGAAGGGCTCATCCGTGGAAAATATGTTAGAGTACAACAAAAAGCAAGAAAATATCAGCACATTTACACAGGGTTTGCCAGTAGATGTAAGTCCTGCGTTTCAAGAGAGCAAAACACAAAAAAATTTGCAAATCTACGTTTTTAGAAGCGATAAATCTTATAACTTCCTAAAATGCACGATAAATGCTTACTCTATTCTCAATGAATAAACGGAGTCTGGGATAACAATTAGCACAGGAAACCGGTGAAAGATGAGATACCATAAATTTTATATAACACTTGTACACATTATGACTGAAAAACCTATGAAAAAACCTACTTCACAGGCAAAATGGGACATTTTCCGTAATATGCTGTGCAACAAATTTAATGTGCAGCTCTCTTATTGCCATAAAGTGACCTCGATGCCCGCCATCACATTTCATATTGTATATATCTAGAAGTGGGCGTCATAAAAGGTTAGCGTTGACGTTGACTGCCGCTGCGTCTATCTCCAATTTATTTTTACCAAGTCTACACTGGTCAGGTGGCAAGACAATCACGAGAACCCCAGAGGTGAGCACAGAAACAGTAGAGACAGTACTAAATAGTATATCACGAAAGCTTAAGTTACTAGAGAAAGCCCTTGCAGCTGCGATCTTCGATGCCCGATACTTGGGAGAAAAAAGGATATGGGAGGCCAAAGTTTATTATGCACAGAAGAAATGGAGATTAGGTTGAAGGTAGTTGACATTCGGACAAGTGCAGGGCGGCATCCGCTGTGAAGTAAGCGCGACAATCGGCACCACTGCCCAGAGCGGTCTTTGTGTAAGACAACTATGAAAGATGATTGGCTGGACAGGGTAGGCAGACACACACGTGATTGGCTGTTCCAGAGGCCGACATCAGTAGCAGTCACTACAGGCCCACCTCTGTGTATCAATTACGACCTGGTCTGTAACTCCACATGAATCAGGTTTCAACAGGGTGCCTCTGGATAGTAATAAATGGGATTTCGGTCACGATGGCATTGATAAAGGGGCGTGGAGGGTCAATGAGGGCTACTACCCAGTTGTGAACTCGACCATCGATTAGCAATCATCCGAGCGCCAAATATCTACCTCCGCTATATTTTTAGTTACATTGGATGCATTACAAGGACAAATGCATAAAACTGTCAAAAGTAAGGACTCCTTAGTGATGATTGCCTTATGTCATCCGTCACATAGTAGTCTGTCCAGTCTGTAGACCGACTGAAAACGGATATGACTAACGTGGTCGAAAAAACTCCCGTAAACACACAACAATAAGACGGACGCATGAAATCTCAGTTCAGTCTGACTAGCACAGCTGGGGCGCAAAGTGCCCCCCTCTTTTAGTTAAATTATACGGAAGCCCAGCTCACCTAAGAGGAAACAAAAATAAAATGAAAACCGCTTAGAGGGTTTTTAACCAAACAGGAGTGAATCCTTTTTGTACTCTTGTTATACTTTCAATATTCACACAGCAGCCTACAGGGCGATACTTAGCACATGAGATTTGCGGTACCTGCCGAAACACATACGCAGTACAATAAGAAGTTCTTTTAAAGTATTGCGAGTTCTGCAAACAACTTTAATGACGAAATTTAACTTGGTAGTTTAGCGTATATCTGGACAGGTTATTTTGATCAACTGGGTGGATTTAATAATAAGAAGCGCTTTGGTTTGGAAAACTGCCGGCCTAGTTGAAATTATCGGGTGAAATAGGCATTAATTTTGGCTAAATAATGAGTAAATTTATGCTTAAGGAATTCCCCATGCTATGAGGAAAGACAGAACCAAACTTTCTTCTAACATACATTGTGTTGTGGAAAAATTCCATAGTTAGTAAAAAAGGTGTAATAATAAGCCCTTCTAGAACTGGGAAATTTTGTGCGAAATTGATCAAATGGAAGTGAAGCAAAGTTTAAGTAATCGCATTTATTTTCTGAAACAAGCAGCGATAGAAGTTTTAAAAATTTTATTTAGCTATTCTGTGAAGTTTTTTTGCACAAAATGCCGTAACGAAAATGCTTCGTCGCGTTTTGTTTAAACCTCACCGCTGACTTTGCACATAACCAAACCTTGCAATAAATGTTACCGTGAAGGGGAATTAAAGAAGGCCTTCTTGTAAGTCAGGTAGAAATATACATTTTTGTAAACAAATGGTTCCGCTCAAGCGTTATTTAGAAACGGAATAGACAGAAGAATAATAAGGATTTCAAAAAATGATCCTATGTGTGGCCCGTTTTTTTTGCATTCGCACGTTTATTACGGATCGTGGGATTTATCCCCTTAAGCGGAAAGTAATCCGTTATAAAGAGGATAGTATGTTCTTTCATCTCCAGTCAAATGCAGTTGTTTTTCTTCAGGAAAATCAAAGAAATTGTCAAAAGTCTCTAATTTCACTGTGACATTACCTTTTGAAAAGTTAATATACACAGAAGTTCGTAAGCTAAACATCCAACAAAAGCACTTTTCAAAGAGGTAACCCATTATGGAAGGTCTTTTTTATTAATCTTAGGAATAACAATATGCGTGGTATCTAGCAGACATGTCAATGGGGTTTGCTGTTTTGAAGCATTTCCACATTTGACCTACATGGCCATCCGCATA